ATGATATCTTCAGGAATCATTGCCAATTATATATACATACACACACACACTTTCAGGCAGAGCCAAGCTTGCGGTTTCACTTTTTATTTTTTCATTTTTAATGCTAAGTTAGGCTAACAGCCGCAGGCCTGACAACCTTCCACTTGTTAGTTAGACATGAGATCTTTTCATCTAACACTCTGCCAAAGAACAAAAGTGTGTGTTCTGTTCCCTTTAACTGATTACAGAAGTCATTGGTTTCTCATTGCTCAGCCTGTGCTGCTGCATATGTCAGACGCACAATGAGCTGCAGCTGTTTGTCATATCATGTTGTCATTTTTTTCTCTCATCATATAAAACAGATCTGGCTTGTGACCCCAGTCACATCATATAAAATCTGATAATGTGCAATCCAGACCACTTTGAACAGATGATTAAAAACAGCGTTTGTATGAATCACAGGCTGAACTCTTTGAATGTCAGACCCAGGCATACGTTTATTCATTTTTGTTCATTAGAGCTATAATGCATTTAAAAAGCCGAGTGTTGCAGTGGCAACATGATGCTGCAGTTAGAGCATGGACAACACACACCTCCACACGGTCTCCTGAGTTTATACAGAATAGTTACCAGTAACAACATTCTTATAAACATCTGGCTCACAGGCCAACGATGCCAAGAAACAAAACAACTGAATTATAAGACCCAAAAAAACTGCCGTGAGGAAACACAAAAGCCTCATTTACCAGCAGCTGTAGCGAACTTGCAGCCAAAAAACAAAAGCTAATTGCCATATTGATAGTTCATAAATAGGCTATAGTCCTTTTTGATACCACTCAGTCAGAGCTGGATCTCTGCCTTCACTGGAGGAGGTACCAAGCTGCTGTGTTTACAGCTGCCTCTCCTGGAAGAGGATCTGAGCATACACAGTGTCCGGGCTTGAGGGTGCTGGGTCCGGGGTGGTGGAGTAGGCCTGGGGCTCCGGCCTCGGTCTCACCAGTTCCAGTTCTGCATATGTCAGACTGTCCTCCTGTGATACTCGAGGCTGGAGGAGGGAGGGAAAAGAGGAAGGAATGTAACTTAGAGATAATGTAATAGACTGCATAAACAGCGGTGTTGACTTATGTTACTGCCAGTGGGTGGTCTCAACAGTTGAATGCCCGACCATCAACCCCAACTAAACCTTAAGCAAGAACCATAGGCTATATGAACCCTAACCCAAACCATAAGCCCCAGCAACTACTAAATAGTTACCTCTTTATGTTAATGTTTTGTTTGTCTGGAAATGAGCAAGAATACGTAAAAACTACTGGACCCATTTTTATGAAACTTGGCAGAAGGATGCGGTATGAGTCTGGAAAGAACCCATTACATTCTGAATCCTGGAACTTTGTCTTCTCTCTTTAACATTGTGAAATTTGCTACATTTTTGTTGATTTCACAGAAAATAAGTCATTTGATGATCTTTACTTGAAAAACCTCCATGTTAAGGGGACATATATTAATGAGTGTTTTTAATTTGGTGCAGATCCAAAAATAAAATCCACATAAGCCATAAGCATGTTTTTTTTAAGGGGACTGTTGGGCCTTTGCGGATGTATGCGCTCTCTGATTGCACTACAAGTTAAATTTGCTTCCTCTTTGCACTGATGTTGTATTTCTTTATGGTAGTAGATTAGATCGTCTGGAGTAACACTCCAAGTGGTGGTTAGGGTTTGGAGCTCCAATCTACTACCAACTGTTTGTAAAATCAATGTAAATTTAGTCCTGGACTGTATATGCCTGGGTGCTGGGCATCTGAAAGGCAGTGGGGTCCAAACATAACCATAAACTTCTATGGTAAAGTGGTCTCAGGCTTGGAAAATGTTGTATTTAAAGTGAGTATAAACATTTCAGATTTCCCCACTATGCATCTTCTCTGCATTTAATCCTTCTCATAAAACAGTAAAATAGTTTCACTGTCTGTGGTAAATATCTCCATGGTGCTTCTTAGCTGGAGAAAATATGTGTTTACAGGCTTCACAGGACCTCTTGGAACATTCAGTTTACTCATTTGGTACAACCAGATTCCTATCCAACATCCCCAGATCCTTCTCGTTGCACTAATTCAATCAGTATGTGTGTGCAAAAGAAATGCTCACATCTCCGTAGCAAGATTTCAATGCAAAATCACAACAGTGGCAACAGTGGAGCTGCTGATGATCCTTAGTTTGAGCAGTTTTCTTCTGTATATACTTGTTTGACACTTTTACTGTAGATATAAAACCAATGAAGCAATCTAAATAAATAATTGTGTTTGAGAAGCAATAAAGCTAAATAGAATTATCAAGCTCATAACTGAATGAAGCAATGGCAATAAACTCCTGTAGACAATCATGCAGTCTTGAGACAAATTCCCTCTTGTACGAATCTCAATAACAACTCTGTAAATGAGAAAAAAAAAATCCTGGAACGTTAATAAATACATATTAACAAATATAATAATAATAAATAATAGTACATATTCATAAATAGAATCATGCCAGAATTGGACATAGGAATAAGTCAGCCTGTAGGATGGGTGATAATAAAGAGACTTACAGCAGCAGATCTCCTCGGCTGAGTCTTTAACCTTCTGGGCTTTTGGGGTCTCTTTGCAGGAACAGGCACTAAAAAATGGAGACAACCTTAATTGACTCAAAACAACAGCCAGGGGGAATGAGTTCACAAATATGACTGTGTGATGGAAGTCTAAATCATCCATCACAGCCATGTTCTACCTCACATAGTCGAGGTAGCTTTATGCTGCCATTTTCAACGTTTCTATCAGTGTTGAATTAACCTCAGGTGATACACCCTGTGGGACTTTACCCTAACACAGTATTAAGTTTTATTATCAGTCTGTTTTCTGCCCAAATCTCTGCTGATGTTTTCGTCATGGAAATAGAATTATCCTGGAGATATCCTTTTCTGCTTTTGTATTTGCTGGATACTGTCATTTAATTCTGTTTTCCTTATTCGATAATTTCTTTTTCTTAGGGCCTGGAGCCTCTCTCAGCTCCCTGGGACTCTAATGCCTCCAGTGTGTTAGGAACCTGAGAGAGAAAGTCCACGCAAAAATATAAAGACTGGAGGTTGAATCAGTCTCCTCCATGCTGCGCGGTAACCACAGAGCCACTGTGCTCCTTCTGAACCAAAGATGAGACTGTAAAACAACTAATCTTGGACGTTCATATAAAGTTTGTGATTTGTTAGTGGAATGCGGGAGAAACCATCCCCTTTAAACTTAAATTACCAAAAATGTATCCCCCTTGGAAAAACCTGCCAATCCTGCCATCCCCTCCATCCTATAGTTGGTGCTGGAAACTAAAATGCAGTTTATTTTCTAAAGTGAAAATTGAATGGCATTGAAAAGATCAGGAAGAGAGCTCTCTTTTCCTCACTCTCCTTCTCTTTCCACTGATGTCTGTCACTGTAGAGTTAACATCAGGAGCACTGGGAAAAGTCCTACCCGTTCGGGGGCTGTTAAAACGTCTATAAAGACTTTACCATCTTTGGCAGGCAGATGTTACCTTTGGCTGGTATGTGCGGTGGAGGCTCTACAGGTAGTTTGGGTGGCGTTACTGCAACTCTTCTGTCAGTTTTCTGTCTGGTGTCTTTCCTCTGCGCTCTTGGAGAGGAACTGGAGGAACTGCTGGAGCTGGTTACAGTCTCTCCTGAGCTGTACGGAGCAGAGGTTTATGACTAATTAGAACTGAAACTCACACTTTCATGAGCAATAAAGCAATTCTACAAACATTAATCAGCTTAAGAAATGCAATATAAACAATCTGAACAATAGACGGTTCTTTAAAATGTGTCGTCTGATCCATGAATTATTAATTTTATCCATTAAAATGTCATCACAAGCTGTCAAAGCCCAAGGTGACATTGTCTAATAATATATAATAATGTCTCCAACTAGAAATCCAAGACCAAAATCATCATTAATATAAAAAACTAAAAAAGTATAAACAAACTGTCCCATTTGATCATTATTCATGAATTATATAATCACAGTTTATGATAAAAAGCATAATGTACCTGCTTTCTGGACACTTGACCAGGAGATAACTGGCTGCAGAGAAAAAGGAAAAAAAAATCATGTTTTCTTGATAACAAAAGGAGGCAAATATATAAATGCAAAGTTACTATAGGAAATCAAACGGTTTCACCTTTGAGTCGGTGTCGTCTGTGAAAGTACTGGCACGTGAGAACCAGAGTGAACAGGAAGATGGACAACAGGCCCAGTGAGCAGATCAGCACAGCATACAGATACACATCTTCAAACAGAGAGGAGTTCATGTGAGAAATGATTCAGATTTTTATTTTGTAACATTTAATAGGAGTAAAGCCAGAGATAAAAACAGTACCTGCAAATAAACGCCACAGTCCTTCACTGCTGCTGTCCTCCAGAGTAAAGTGCACTGGGGAAACAATTGTTAAAAACGGATTCAGCAAAAAAAAAACTGTACAGACAAAAAAATCTTTGTAAATTGCTGATGTCTGAGGGAACTGTCCCAACACAGCAGACGGCTTCAGTGGTTTCCAAAAATATCAAAACCGCGGTTGAGAAGGGAGAGTCTGTTGCAGCATCAGCCAAACCCAGCACACACACACACACACACACACACACACACACACACCCACACACACACACACACACACACACACACAACACGCACTCAAACTTACAACACATAGTTAAGAAATACAAGGATGAAGAGTCTGCAGAACCTGAAGGAGATACCTCAGCTGGCAACACAAACAACCGATCCGATTGAGACGCAGACTTTCACACAACTTACCCAGAAGTGTGGACTTGCAAGTAATGCATAAACATGTCTCACACTCTCTTCAACTTTGTCCTCTGGCAGTGTAAATAGATCAGTCATCAGAAAGCAGCCGGCTCACATCTTTTTCCAGAGAGAGAGCGTCAAGTGCTGATCCAATTTGAGATGTTAAAGTTTATTTGTGTTTAAGAGGAAAAACATCAGGATCAATACGTTAAATCAAATCTCTCCTTGTCTTTTATTTCAGGTGACCCTGCTCTCGTTCTCTGTGGAGTCCGAGTTTACATTCTTAGATTACATTAAAGGAGGGTGAGTGGAAATGATCGTCTGTAGAGTTGAAGAAAACCATTACTGGTCTTATTACTTACTCGTATGATGCAATTAAATACTAGGGTTAAACATAGGATAATGAGGTTTCCTATTCAAATGTATAACAATGGAATTTCAGTGAAGGAAAGAAATTGTTTGGTCAAATAGGGGAGTTAAACGATATTGGATAGATTGTATGTTCACATTTGCTTGTGAGGGATGAGGTCCTCATTAAAGATTGTGGCCAAGTAGTGCCCACTAATGGTAGGTGATCTTCCCAGACCAAAAATATGACAACCTTCTTACCACACTATCATGATCCATGACCTGAATCACTGCCTTTATTCCCACTTTTGAAATATCCTGTTATTAATATTCAGATTTAGACCAGCCTTTGCATTTACACAATGTGAAACACAATTTTGCATTAAAGACATTGTTTTCAAAATAGTTTTTTGCATCAGTATTTTAAATCCACCTCATTCACAGCTTTGAACGACACTTATCCATGAAATTATGAAATAGGAAATGATCTGATCAGTGANCACACACACACACACACACACACACACACACACACACAGACACAATGCTGTTGTTCTTGAAGTTGAGAGATTCCCTGTTGCTTTGAATACCCACTTCCTTTGGTCACTTCACTGTTGTTTAACGTTGCAGTTTTCTGTGTCTGTGTGACAAGAGACTGAATAAGGAAGTCGTCAGCTTGTGTTCGATGAATGATGGGCTGTGTATAGGTCAGGGCTATTTAACAAGGAGAGAGGCTGTGTACATAAATTACTGTGTCTCTCCGCTCCCCTTAATGAGATTTTAATACGTCTTTTAAAACACAGGTTGATAAACATATTAATAAGAAATGATAAGATATTAACTCTAATTGACTTCTTGCCTGTTCCAGACTGCACATCAGGGAGCAACACAAAGGCTTTTTGTGCTGTGACCAGACATCAGAAATAGTGACTTACTATTATTGTGTTAGTGATCATTTTTTTTGTCTAAAATATGTATCTAGCATCCGAAGATAAGAGTTAAAAAAACGATTGATTATAGAAATAATACATGCGGAGGCTTGACGAACGTGCAATGCAATTTAAACGTATAAGCAATTATCAGGCCATTAAATAGAGATTATTCGTCCCATACGTATGGGCTGGTAGGGGCCTACTAAACCTCTTCAGGAGGCTGGTGTCACTTAATAATGTCAGTGAGCTGGAGCCCAGTCTGCTCATGTGGCTTCCACTAACGAAAAAAAAGAAAGAAACTACAGAAGAAAACAGGGTGTTTACAGTGCTTTTTGGTAAAGATGAAAACTATAGATATGAGGACCCTAGGATTAAGGTTTTTTTTGGGGTGGGGGCAAATCTTAAATATATGTATAATGACCCCTGCCAAGGAGGTGATGTTTTCATTTGCATTTTTCTTATTTAGCAGGATTACGCAAAAACTACTGGATGAATTAAAGCAGAAAAGGAGAATCCTTATCAGGGCCAATACAAAGTGAGTATTTTTTTCACTTTAACATTGAGAGTGTTTTTCAACATTTTCATTGATGAATAATTCATGGATCTTGATGAAAAAAATCAGGTTTGGGGACTGATATTTATGAGTGTGTGCAATTGGGTGATGAACAATTTGGATCTCGTAAATTTAAAATGTAATTTCATAAGGGCCTTGACGTAGGAATGCTCTCTACTGATTCTATTTTTACTGAGTTTTGACCGTCCACTGTGTAAAGAGAAGGAATATTAGCCTCAGATAAATACTTGTAAAGTAGACAAATTGTGGCAGAGTCTAATTTGATGACGAAGAGGCTCTATGTAACAGACATGTGGGCTGTTAACAGTTGTGGCCTGAGGTTAACAGGTTGTCTGTAGGTATCAAAGTAGCATCAAGATCCTACAGATGTCTGCACAGGCAGTTGCACAAAGAGAGGCACAGGTTTTCATAAAGAGCCATCAACCATCGTGTGTTCCATCATTAGGTCTGAGGTTGGGATTGAAAGATGTGGGAGAGGACAAACCAACTTCCCGCTGTGAAACATATTTGTAGTAAGAGTGGTCCAGTGATCTCAGTGTGGGCTCCAAGCTCTGCAGACCGAGGGCTTCCCTGGATCTCACTGACAGTTCGACTTAGTTTTCTTTTTGTTTACCCTCATAATGTCAGCTCTTGTGTTTTCTGGTCCTGTGGTCGATGCATGTTGGAGATGCCTGAGGTCGTGCGGCTTCCTTTCCTTAGTGGGACGTTGCCCTGAATGTAGGGCAGGGCGTTGCCAGATGTATCCGTCTGACTTCCATGCATAGAACTAGTGAAAGGTACACCGTGCAACTGATTCAAACGGAGCTACACCTAGCAGCATCCTTAATCTCTATTGAACCTCCTAAAAGATGTGTCCACTGCATTGAATTCTGTCAAATCTACTGTATGAAGAAAAACTTACATCTGATCAAAGTTCGTTCAAAACCACATTGTCGTAGACTCAAGTTCTGCTGCAACTGAATCCTCAAGTAAACGTTCTCCTGAGGTTTGCATTAAAATGAACCCAGAGTGCTGACGTCACATTTTTTAAGTTTTGGACTTTCTGAGAGAAAGCAGGTTATTGCTTCTCAGAGTTTTTTTTTTTAGCCAGCTCAGCAACACTTTAGCTTTTTACTCCTCACGCTCACTCACACACAGAGTGATATTGTTGAGTGTGGTTTGGCTGTGTGAGCTCATTGTTTTGAGATGGAAATGCCAGAGGATTGGGGTCACGCTGAAACACATATAGGCTGTACTTACAGCAAATAACAGCGCTATAGAGTCAAAGAATACGTGCTGCACTCTTCTTCTTGCCCTTTATCCTTTAACAAAAACTATTGCTCTTCCTTTATTCAGTCATTTCTGTTGCTGGACGACATGGACACCAGCCTCCACACTGTATGTATGTGGCTGTGAGGGAATTCCTTGGACAGCTAGGAGTATTCCATGGAAAAAAAAATCACAGTAATAACACCAGAAATCCCCTTTGCTTCTCTCTTGTCAGTGCTGAGGGTTGCACAAAAGCATAAGTGCAGTGGGTGATACAATGCAGTGTCTTATGCGTTTTTCTTTTTTCGCCTGCTTGAATCAAGTGTGCTAATAAATTCTCTTGCATTTGATCTGACAAAAAGCCAAAAGGTCACCGTGATCTAATGAGGAAATGGTGAAATACTAACATTATTTGTGTTGATGTTTCACAGCCTAACTTGTCCTCCACCAGGAGACACAGTCCCCGTCCTTTAGAGCCCCGACATTTTGCTCAAGGACATGTAGAATACTTTATGAGAAAGGGTCTCAAACTTCCAACCACTTAGCTTAATTTAAAGAACAGAAATAAAAAAAGCAACAGCTGATGACAAATATCAAACCCTCCATCTTTCAATTTTCACCCCAATATCTGCCAAAATGTGGCCTTGCATCTTTACAGCACATCTGCAGTTACCTGTCAGCTGTGTGGTGCTGGTACCATTGGACGATGATCTCCACGTGTTTCTGTATTTGCGGATCTCCTGAACTTTGCAGGTGTAGAACCCTTGATCCGCCCCTGCCACACTGAAAATCCGCAATCGGTACAGCTCCCCCTCCGCCTCCTCGTACAAGCGAAACTTTGGCTGGGGGAAACGACGGGTGTAGTTGCCGTACAGCTTCATTTTCTTTATGCCCATCTTCACGATCAGAAATTGAGAGGGGTCCAGGGCAGGGGGAGATGGGGATGGAGAGGATGGAGGAGGCAGGAGAGTGGGAGCAGCAAGAGGTGAGAAGAACCAGCGAAGGATGAGAACGCTGCTGCTCCTCTTCCTCTGAGATACCAGGCAGGACAGGGTCACGTTGTCTTTCTCTGTTACCATGACAACAGGTCCAGGGGTCAGTGTCACATTGAGAGCGTGACATACATCTGTGGACAAAACACACAACAAATATAACTTTGGATGGAGGGATTTGAACTGAGAACTTTCATGCTGTAAGGAAACAGTACTATCCACTTTACCACTATGCCGCCTCTTCACCTCTTGCATTGAGTGCTATTATTTCTTGCAAGTTGCATGATGCACTGTACTGAATGTGTTGTTTTATGGCACAATACAATCAAACCAAACCATAAAATACTATTTTCCAAAACAAGAGGGACTCCTCCCTGCTTTTTAAGTTAGTTGGTAGTGTGCCACACATGGAAAAAGTCATGAGTTCATGTTTTGCAACATGTTTGATTTCCTCTCAATTACACATAATTGTGGCAAGTGAGTTTATACGGGTTGGTAGGGGTGGCCACTTGGATTTATAGCACTCACACTATCACGAGTTCTACTCTTTACAGTGAATGTCATTCTGTCCCTGGATGGGAATTTAGTTTGTAATAGCAAAGAGAGACTATGAGGACTGAGAATGAGAAAGCACAAACCCTGGAGGAGGTAGTCGTGTTTGATTCTGCTGCCAGCTAGGTCAGGTCTGTCTATAGCAGAGACACTGGGTCTGGACACAATATGTGTGATCGCACGGGCAAAGAAAATCTACAGGTGGGAAACATTCATCTTCAGTACTTTACTCTCCAAAACAGAGCAAAGAGAAAGACGACAAGATAACAGGGACCATCTGGGATTCGTGCTGTTTTGTTTTTTTTCTCCTGCAGGGTGAGGTGGGGAATCTCCCTCAGGCTCCTAAACTGTTTGATGTGACAGCATAAAGGGACGCAAAGTAACATGACATACACAAACTGAAAATAAGCAAAAGATTACAGGGCAGGAAATACAAGTTGTAAGTCCACGTTATGACAGTTTATGGAATTCTACTTATTATACTGACTTTTTCTAACAGAAAAACAAAATGCTCAACTTCACATCTGCTTTCCTTTTAATCAAAGCCTCATTTGCTGTGTTTGCTACGTCAACATTGCCCATAATGAAATGATGACTTACAACTTTTGTATAGAAGCAGTGACTATTATCTGATGTTTTGACATTATTTTCATACCAAAGTTTCTTAATAAACTCAACAATTATGGCTTCACAATAGTTTATGTTAGATCACCAGGTCAGAACATCAGACACACTCTCTTACTTGCATGCTTGCTCGGTTTCTCACTGGTTTACATTGTTGTTGACAAGGTAAACTTACCTGTGACCAGAGCCTTAGTCAGGACAAGGACCACTATAGAGAAGTACATTTTCCACAGTCAGCGAATCCATAAACCCAGACAACTGCACAGCACCTCAACAAGCAGCTACATTCAAAACAGAGCCGGACTGCACGACCCACCAGTACCCCTACCCACCATTAACTCTTCTCCTCTTTCTCTGCTTTTTGTGTAATATGAAACAGTAAATGTTCTGTTCCCACTTAGAAACTCCCACTCACTCTCCCAGTGCTCTCTCTCTCTCCCTCTCTCTCTCTGTCCGTCTCTCCCTTTCTCTCCCTCTTTCTGTGTGTCCTGCAGAACTTAGGAAATGTCATTTCCTGTGTTTCTGTGAGGAGTCTTGGACCCTGGCCCAAAACCCTAGAGCTCCTAAAGCGACGGTCAGGTCTCGTGGCTTGTGTGTGTGTGTGTGTGTGTGTGTGTGTGTGTGTGTGCGTGTGTGCGTGTGCGCACGCTTGTCATTCTGCACGTCATTTTGTGGGGTATACACAACAAGGCACTGAAAATGCATTTCCATTACCCAAGTTACTCTCACCATCAAGGGGTGATGCTCATCTTGCATCTCCCAGTAATGTTTACAATGAGGAAATGTCCGTTTTCATATGTGTGAGCTGTTTTTCTGCTTTCATACATGTGTTCATGCACTTATGTGGATGTGTGTGTATGTGCGTGCTGGGGACCTCTCCCTGTCTGGTTGCTGGACAGAGTGGCATGGGCCTGTCTCTGGCTGTGGTTGTCAGACTGTCCCAGTGGTATGAAGCCTGCTGCTTTATTGGGCAGCCCAAACTGCTGAGGCAGGGCTTCGGCTGGCGCTTTGAGCTCTGCCAAAGCCAAATGGAATTACACAACAGATTTAACCCTTCATACATATGACCTCTGTAGGATGGATGGATTCAGTGGAAAATGTAGCGGCTGCTTTGATAAGGTGGTTCAGTCTTTTCCCAACCTTTATAAAATCTTTTGATTTGAAAAGAAAGTATTTGCACTGTACATTCAGATTAAGTTCTGGCTGCAGTACATGTTTTATCAATCGAGGGTCATGTGTAAAAATGCCAAAATAATAATTCTGGTGACATTTGAGAAGTAATATTTCTACTTAAGTATGTCTTTCACTTGGGGTTTCCCTCAAGTTTTCCTTTGCATATGTCTGAAGTTCAAGTCTTCAGAGGAGAGATTACTCTCCTCTGCCCTGCTGTGGTCAAAGCAAGTTACTGCTTCTCAGGGGGACAACAATACCACAGGTTACTTAGAAAGGGGGGAGTGTGTGCAGGCATTTTTCACCACTGTCATGAACATTTAATCTGCGCTTGTGAATCAAGGGAAATAAAAGAGAAGGCATCACCAAAATGTTATCTTCTCCTTTTACGTTCCTAGAATCTCTCATGACATATTATTGTGCTCTCTGAACAACACTTCGTAATTGTGTTATGCTCTCAGTAAAACAACTCTTTATTTTGAGTCATTCAGACCCAAGGTACATTTCAAGAGCAGGATGCCAGTGGCAGTTCTTGTTATTATCGACTTTGAGTTGTAAAATAAAATCAACCTTCTGCAATAATCTTTTATTTTACTTTTTAGTTTATTTATAACTTTTACAAGGCAGATTTTGTAAGACAGTCATTGTGATGACGAATTGTTTGGTTGAATTAGGTGTGTTTTTATTGGCTGAACAAGTCTATGTCACACTACTCTGTTTCACAGCAACACAGAAAAATGCCTACAAACTTTGAATTTTCCAAAATGGACTACTGTATGAAACAAAACCTTAATTACAGCAACAATCCTATCATCATGATTTCACTTTGACACAGTGGTTGAATATACAAATTTGCAGATCTATATATCTCATGCATCAAAAATGTAAAAGTTAAACAGGTCAGTGTTCATAGCAGAGACCACCAACCTACTAAACACTGTTGACATTCTTCTGCTGTTTAATGTATGAGAAACTCCTTCTAGGTTTACGAGGCACAGTAATACTGATCACACTGTATACACATATCTCAGCTTCTCACGTTCATATGTTAATGGAATGGTGAACTTATCTGTAACACAATAAATAGCTAAACATTGAATCTCTACAATCAGCAGCAACAATTTAACAGCATCTCAAAAAGTGACCTGTTAAAACTACAATCGATTCACTTGGAAAAAGTCACTTCAAATACTGCATGTAACAATCCATTCACTCATTTCTTTTGGGTATCTTTATATAATCAAATACTTTATTAAGCCTTTTGATGCTTTGCATAATTTGTACATAATTAATCAGTCTGTGTTCTCACCAGTCAGACACCTCCATAAAGTCTTCCAGTTCACCGATAGTTATTATATCTCTGGGTTGATATCGTGAGTGGGCTGAGTTTTCATTTTCACACACGGAGCTTCCTGCAAGCTGGCTATTTGTGTCACACTCTGGGAGCACCTCATATGAGCCATGTGTGTTGTAAACTGTGTTATATGTTTTCTCTGTATCATTAACTGTGTCCATGTACGGTGTCTTCTCTGGGCTGTAGCGATGCCCTTCAGAGTACGGTCTGATTTCAGGGGCTGGATATCCGTAGCTGGGGTTCTCCCTGACAGGCTGTTGGTTCTGTTGGTGAGTCAAGGGGGCTGATGAGCTGTGGGGAGGCATGGAGTTGACCGCTGCTGGTTGGTAACCTTGGGAATACCCATGGTAGCCTTGATAAAGCATAAGGGGCTTGCCAGTTGGAGAGGCCTGGGAGATGGGCTGTTGCTGTGACTTCATCTTCGTTTGGGCAAGGAGCTGGGGCTGAGAGTAGGTTTGTTGGGGCTGGGGTTGGGAGGTGCTCTTGCCAGATTCACGCACATTCAGCTGAACATACTTTCCTGTCTGTGGGTCAAAGAAAGTCTTTGTTTTCACTTGAACAGGTACGTCCACTACAAAATACTGACCGGAGCCGAGGTCTTGCAGCACCTTGCGCTGGGTCATTGGGTAGGACTGGGGATAGCTTGATTCAACATGGTACTGTGTCACTGGAGCTGGATGGTTGGCATAATGGAGAGTGGGAGAAGAGGAAACATGAGAAACTGTTTTAAGAGCAGCAGTGTGGGAAGCAGGGCCAGTAGCATGAGGTGAGGTAACTGGGAGGATAACAGCGGCAGCAGCATGAGGCAAGGGAACTGGGAGGGAGACAGGACCAGAGGCATGAGGCAAAGTGTGGACAGAGTGGTGAGAGAATGTGTGCTCTGTGTGGGAAGAAGGCAAGCCAGACTCCATTGCTGGAGCATGAGCAAGGGACACGGGAGAGGAAAAATGAGGGGAAGCCACAGCATGTTTGTTGGAGGAGTGTACCTCAGTGGAGGAGGAGGGAGGAGGGACTTCTTGAAGAGGTTTTTCAACTCCAGCAGGGCTGTCTTCTCCTGCTTTGCACGACTCCTTCTTTATCCTCCGAGTAGTCAACCTTTTTGCCCTACGTAAGGCTTTCTCACTCTTTGGGGGAACAACTGGAGGCTTGCCCATTGAACGAGACACATCACTGCTGTAACTACAGGCCGATTCTGGCCTATCGAGGTCATACAAGCCTCGTATATCTGCCAGGTCTGCAGCACTGGTGGCAAAACTCTCCACATCTTCTGACATATTGCTCATGACAGAGCGGGAGTCATCTTCATCTAGAACAATGCTCCTCCTGGAGTAAGGCCTGTGTTGTGGGAGATGGGCAGAGTAATCCTGTGATGAAGGTTGTTTAAAAACACCATGTTTTTTTAACCCTGTGTCAGGATGGACAGGAACTCCAGCACTATGTCTCATTATCTCCTGCTCCTCTTCTCCTTGCTCTGACACCCTTTCCATGGGGGAACCCACACGGAAGTCCTCTCCAAAGTTCTTATGGAAACGTGGTTTGACTGACTTGGTGAAAGGAGAACCTCTCATTGTGTTATCCTTCACCCTGAACATTGAGGGCTTGGCTCCCAGAGCAGGAGAGGAGGTGTTGGAGCGGGGCAGAGAAGGAGCTGGAGATGCAGAGGCATGGGACCTGTAAGACCGAGTGTGGTATCCTGAGTCCTCATTTGACTCACGAACTGATGGATGTTTGTTTTGTTGGGAAGGTAAAGGGGAGCGTAGTTTTCTATCTTTGGGTTTCCGCTCTGATTCTGTAGAGGATATGGCGTAGTACTGGAGAGCATCCATCATTTGTGCTGCTCTTTTGTGCTCCTCCATCTGAGAAGCTCTCTCTTTTTCTCTCTGAGACACAAGCTTTTCTTCTTCTTCTCTCTTTTTAGCCATGATTTCATCCTCTCTTTGAGCTATCTGTTCTTGTGCTTCCCTCCTCCCCTTCTCTGCCTGGCTCTCCTCAAGTTGTCTAGCTCTCTCCTCTTTCATAATTATTTTCTCTTTATCAGTAGCTTTCTTGTTCTCCTCCTCTCTCTGTGTCCTTATGTTTTCCTGCTCAATTTCAGCAGGTCTTTTCTCCTCCCTCTTTTTTGTTATCTTTTGTGGCTCCTCTTGTGCAGCTTTTCTTTGCTTCTCCTCAATCAGAGCAGCAATTATTTGCTGCTCCTCTATTGCAGCTCGACTCTGTTGCTCCTCTTGTGCAGCACTCCTCTTCTGCTCTTCTTTTGCAGGTCTCTTTTGTTTCTCCTCAATCAGAGAAGCTCTCCTTCGCTGTTCCTCTTGTGCAGCTTTTCTTTGCCGCTCCTCCTCAGTGGCGCTCCTCTGCTGCTCCTCTTGTGCAGCTCTCCTTTGCTGCTCCTCTTTTGCAGCTCTCCTTTGCTGCTCCTCTTGTGCAGCTCTCCTCTGATGCTCCTCTTGTGCAGCTCTCTTTTGCTGCTCCTCAATCAGGGCAGCTCTCCTCTGCTGCTCCTCTTGTGCAGCTTTCCTCTGCAGCTCCTCTTGTGCAGCTTTCTTTTGCTGCTCCTCTTGTGCAGCTTTCCTCTGNGCAGCTCTCCTCTGCTGCTCCTCTTGTGCAGCTTTCCTCTGCAGCTCCTCTTGTGCAGCTTTCTTTTGCTGCTCCTCTTGTGCAGCTTTCCTCTGCTG